AGCACTGGAATGAAGAGTTGCTACTCCAATTCTATGCCACACTTCACATCTATGGGTACAACAGAGATCCGAAGACTTGGGTCCTGGAGTGGATAACAGGAAATGTTCATCACAAAGCCAAAGCCTTTGATATCATTGAGATCACTGGTCTGCCCACTCCTGGCGATCTCTACGAACCTGGCTGTCAGCTTCATAGTGAAGCTATGGAGAGCATCTTTCAGAAGCCTGAACCAAACATGAGTCAGATGCTCAGTATGATGAAGCCATTGCCCCAAGATGTTGCATATCCCAAGGAGTTCTTTGTTGAAGACCTTGAGAATCTGCCAAGGACTATTTATCACATCATAAGGCGAACTCTCTGGCCCATCAAAGGACATTCTCCACATGCCAAGCTGGAAGGTGCAATGAAGACTTTGGTCTTCTATATTCTTCATGGCAAATGCTTCAATGCACAGGACTTCTTCATCCACCAACTTGCTGCATCAGGCTCTGATCTTTTTGGCTTGAAGTTCTACGCTCCATGGATAATGCGGCTGATTAAACTCCACTCCGCTATCTCATATAAGCCATCTGCTCGCAATCATCGGATCTTTCTGCCTGATGTGGATATGTCTGTTGAAGCCATTTATCCTGAGCCTGCCAAGGAACCTCTTAGTCTTCAGAATGCGGAGCATCAAAGTTTTTCTCAGAACATTGAAGGAGTTAAAGCAGTCACTCGTGTTTATCCTTTGGCTGGAACTACACGTGCACCACATCCTGCTCTTACTGAAGCCACCGATAGGACAATTGCCCAACGACCCAAGAAGCGCACTCGTGTTCTCAATGACCGAGAGCTTCTGGTGGCTCTTCATCAGAAACATGATAGGCATCATGACTGGCTGAAGCGCCAAATGCAAAGCCTCTTGGTGGATGTCAACCGCATTCGCAATCTTACCACCAAGAATGCCTTTGTTGCCCATGAAACCTCTCGACGCACATGGAAAGGGCTGACGCTTATGTGCTTTGAAGATGATCTTCAAGAGGATGGCTTCTCTGAACGCTTCAAGTTTGACTCCACACCTCCTCGAAGGGCAGTGCTGCGACGAACTCCATCTCTTGAAGACTCTGAGTTCTCTTCCTCTGCTACAACTGTGAATGCCAGAGTGATCGAGGATGAAGACAATGCTACTTCACCGCCACCTCCTTCAGCACGCTTCGACACTGCTCCAAGTTCTTCTGCACCGCCGAACACCACCGACGACCCTGCTGCTTCCCTTACTCTTCATGGGAACGAGTAGATGCTCTATGTCTTCAAACCTTTTTGGTCCTTACTGACAAAAGGGGGAGAAGCATATGAGTTTGATAGTCTTCAAGCGGGTCCATATGGGCGGTTGCTTTATATTTTGCCTTGTGTTTACAACTCTCGTTTTGATACATTTGGTTCTTTGAGTTGTAACACCTAAATTCGATGGCCGTCTGCTACTTATTTGCTACTTTGTGATGCGACGATAAATTCGCATGTGCGACGATAAATTCTGCACTTAGATCATTTTGCAGACGTCCATTTTCCATTATGCATGTCATTATCTTCACATACCTTCTCATGCATAATGAATTGTCATCATAAGTTGAAGAGGATCTCCACGAGTACAACCTTCCATGTGCATTTGCATTCCAAAAGCAAATTACTTATATGCACATCTTCAGGGGGAGCCCTTGCAACTAATGAAGACAATTCCTTATCCTTTACAATTTCACATATTATATTCCCCGTTGAAAACTTCAACTAGTTTGTCATCAATCACCAAAAAGGGGGAGATTGTAAGTGCATCTAGTGCCACCCCTAGTTGGTTTTGGAGTATTGACGACAAACCTAGTTGAGGGACTAATGTGTTTGTGAGAATTGCAAGATAACACATGTAGAAGTCCCTCATTGATTCGGTTTTCCTACCAGAGATGACCCCTAAAAATGTATGAAGACATTGATGTCAAAGGTGGTATATAAAGATATTCTCATTGAAGACTATGACAAGAGAAGACATCGCATGCAGCCTATGGAGTTCGAAGACTTAGATCTTTCGTAGTTCTTTTTCTTCTTTTGTTGAGTCATAGGAACCACCGTACTATTAAGTGGGGTCCAAGAGAACCAGTCAGAATGACTGAAGTGATGCTTAACTGAAACCTATGTCTTCGAGTGAAGACTATGAGAGCGAATCTTGTCCAGAGTCGGACAAGTCAGCTTTGCTTGTAGCCCAAGTAAAGTTGTCGTGTGTGTTTGAAATCTGACCGTTGGAACACGTGTCAGTTCCTTGGTGACCCAGGGTCATTTCAGACAAATCAGGTCGGGTTGCCTAGTGGCTATAAATAGCCCACCCCCTACAACCATAAATGGTTGGATGCTCAGAGTTAGAGTACGGCTTTTGTCGTTTGAGAGCAACCCACCTTGAAGCCTTTGAGAGAGAATTCCTTGCGAGGATAAAGCCCTAACCACCCAGAGCCAAAGAGTGTTAGGCATCACTTAAGTCTTCTTGTCTGTGTGATCTGAAGACTTATTATACTTGAGGACTGTGAATCCTCCAGCCGGTTAGGCGTCGCGTTCTGAGCATCCAAGAGACATTGTGGATCGCTGGTGAACGAAGTCTGTGAAGGTTTGGGAGTCTACCTTGAAGACTTACCAGAGTGATTGGGCGAGGTCTGTGTGACCTTAGCTCAAGGGGAATACGGTGAGGACTGGGTGTCCTGAGCTGCGTGTTCAGGACTGGGTGTCCGGGACTGTGTGTCCTCAGGTTTAAATACCTAGCCGCCCTAACCAGACGTATAGTCGTCACAGCAACTGGAACTGGTCCAACAAATCATTGTCTTCAACGAGTCATTGGTTTCATCCTTCCCTTCCCTTTACTTACTGTTGGTCTTTGTGAAGTCATTGTATGATTGCACTATCTTCTGTCTTCACTGAGTGACTGCATGTTCTGATCAGCTTCATAATATCTTCCTACCTGATCCTTACTACCTAGCTGCTATTAGTCATTGTGCTTTCACTTCATTGAATACTTGACTATGGTTTGACTAGTGTAGTCTACCTTCCGCTGCATGGTAATAGGTTTATTTCTATCGTCTGTCTTCGAAACTTCCACGTTTTGAAGACTTTCATAAAAATCGCCTATTCACCCCCCTCTAGTCGATATAACGCACTTTCAGTCTTGAAGGCGACCACCACACCTTTACAAACTTCTCCGGAGTACACCACAAGCAAGGAAGCTTCCGGAGGAACCTCTAACCGCCTAGGAGCCCAAGCTCCAAGAGTAACAAGTCAATGGGGAAGAAATGTTGCGGGAAACGCCATTTGGTTTGGTCAAGTTGTAGATCGGGTCTTGCTCACCCAATCCCCAAAGTTTCAACAAGTTTGGGTGGAGGGATTGAGAGTATTGAGCAAAATGGGATGTACCAATGGTGGAGCTCAACAAGACATTAGGGCTAAGGGTTGGAGGTGGAAGATGGGCCTTTTTATAGTGTTCATGGGCTGGTGGGGATTTCTTCCCGTTGGACCCCGTGCGCACGGGCTAAGTCAGTCCCGTGCGCATGGGGTATCCAGAGACAATCGCACCACCCCGTGTGCACGGGGGTCAAAAGACCCCATGCCCACGGGGTATCCAGAGAGTTACGCAGTACCCCGTGCGCACAGGGGTCAAAAGACCCCGTGCGCACGGGGTACCCAGAGAGTTACCCCGTACCCCGTGCGCACGGGGGTCAAAAGACCCAGTGCGCACGGGGGTCAAAAGACCCAGTGCGCACGGGGTACCCAGTAACTTACTGTTGCAACTTTTTGAGTACCACAATACACACACTAGGTTCATTTGAGGTGGTCGGAGTGGGAAGGGTAAGAAAGTAAGGCTCGGCAAAGGCATTCCCACACGACATTTATCCACACAGACCCCTCTTAATAGTGCGGTCTTTCCTACGACTCGAAGCAAACAAAAACTAAACCTTCGAAGCGTCGAAAGACCATGCCTTTGTCCTTTTTAAAATGGGGGATCACACATCTCCATCGCGGGTACTTAGAACCAATAGCCTGAAATAAATTTTAGCAACCGATATTAGTTCAACTAACCATATTGTCATCACACCAAAATATAGCTTAAATGCCATTAGCACTTTCAAGTGGGCAACAACAAGCAGTTGCAGTAGCGGCAAACAGTAGCAGCGGGCGGCGGTAGGCGACAAGCATTGGCAATAGCGCACGCAACAACATCAGCAGTGGGCAACACCACACCCCACGCGCAACCACGATCAGCCACTTCCACGACCGACACATGCAAGGCCGCAGCAGCCACGGCCGTCGCACAAGGGTGTGATTGTTTTTCTTTAAACTAATAGGAACTGATTGCTTTTTAAAAAACTATCAGGGACTCAATTGTTTTTTTAAAACAAACAAGGACTTGACTGTTTTTTAAGTTACATGACCTGAGTGCTTTTCTAAAAAAGTTGCAGGGACCGATTGCTTTTTAATTTTTTTAAGGGACCGACATGTGGGCTTCACCTGTTATAACGGCCAACCTGACGGTTAAAGTTGACAAGTGGACCCCATAAGTAGGCCAACCATGTAAGTTTTGATTTTAGTCGTGACTCAACTTCGGATCAGTGTGATTTGTTATTCACTTGTCACATTTGTGGTTATTTGTGTTTTTTGACAACAACGGTGGCAACCTGTTATCCTAGCTATAAATATAATGGTTTTGATCAATTCATTCCATCCCACTAGTCCACGTATGGAATCCATAAAAAAAAAAAGACCAATGGCGCTGTTTTGTTTTTGAGAAACTCCACTGGAAACCGGCCGGTCCAAGCAGACGGCCAAGAAAAAGCCCATGAACGCCAGCGGCCGACCAGAACAATTCCCGAACCGCAACGCGTTCTCGTCCTCCCTCCTCTCTGGGTGACCTCCCTCCACCCGCAGCGCGTTCGCCGCCGGCGCCGCAATCTCCACCGACACCGCCTCCCCCTTCCAATCCTCCCTCGTTTCCATGGCATCGCCGTCGGGAAGCGCCGGGGACCGAGCCGAGCCTTGCGGGGGCTCCTCCTCTACTATCTCCCCAATCCGGCCGATGCTCTCTTCAGCTCCTCCTCCTACTCTTCTCCCCCCAGGTAAAGATCCCCCACCATCCCCCTCTGGATTCGTCTAGAACAGTAGCTTTTTGCTTGTGTTAGACTATTAGCTTTTCGCAAGACATCCATGGATCGTTCGTGAGGTAGGTCCTTTTGTGATCCTTCAGGTCGAGAGGTAGGTCGACATCTGTAGTACTAGGAGTAGAAGTGCCAGGAAGGGCATGTGGCATGGATTCATGGATAGTAGCTAGCTAGCTACTACTCCCTCCGTCCCAAAATAAGTATCTCAACTTTATACTAACTTTAGTACAAAGTTGTATTAAGCTTGAGATGCTTATTTTGAGACGGAGGGAGTACTTTATTAATCCATGGTGCTGCAAGTAATGTTTCAGACACAGTTTCGCGGTTTGAATGATTTCGTGGTTTGAATACAGAAAAGGAGCTCTTGAATTTCAGTCATTGACACTAATATGTCATTGCCCATGATATTAACTCACTGGATCACACACAAAATAGTATGTTGTCCTTCAAAAGTTAGCAAAAGTCTCAAATAATACTTGGAAAATGATTGCCTGGAACTACTGTATGTCAAGGAAATCATCCAGTAGATCCAAATATTAGTCAGGAACAGGACATGGAAGTAAGCTTACATATTGCAGGCAGTTTACCTTTGATACTAAGCAATTAACCATCAGCACCTAGTTACCAAAGCGCCTGGTAGGTGTGCTTCAGATCACTATTATTTCTTTTGGGCAAATTCCAGATCACTTGCACTTTCTGTCAATGCCGCAGATTGAGATGGTTTGCTTACTCACTCACTAGTACATATATAGTGTTATACTACTATACTAGTAGATAGTTTTGCAATAAAGAGTAAACCCCTGTTTTTTTTTTTTGAACCGGGCGCAACCCCTTTCCATTACTCAACATAACGGAAATACAAAGTTCAGACCAGTGCACAACCCACCAACTCAGACTGCCCAGAGACTGATCAACAACCTGAAGGAAACTAGACCCCTGTTAGTTACTGGAGAACAAAGGCCGGATGTATGTAGCCTTGTGGTTTGTTTCTATATCCCACTTAACTGTAAAGGGGATCGATTGATAGCCAGAATCATCTCCTTTGGGTTCAGCTTTGATTACATCTTGATATAGACACCGCTACCTTTCATATGCATGCATGCTGGTCATGTTGCTTTGCTATGGTTCCTTCTTGAGTGATTTCGCTAGGACCACAAAGTAGGCAATGTAGTTAGTCCCCTGAGCAATCGCACGCATCGGCGTCC